TAAAATTCACAATTTGGTAGAGGCACTCTTGCTCATCACAACTATGCACTTAGTTTATTTAATACCCAGGAGCAGAGAAGAAGATTTTCAAAGAATAAATGCATTTTCACCATAGAATCAAAAGAGCTCCACCCTAACACCAGAACCCCTGACCCTGGGGCCATAAAATTCACAATTTTTGGAAGAGGCACTCTTGCTCATCACAACTATGTGCTTAGTTAGTTTATTTAATACCCAGAAGCAGAGAAGAAGATTTTCAAAGAATAAATGCATTTTCACTATATTATCAATAGAGCCCCGCCCTAACACCAGAACCCCTGACCCTGGGGCCATAAAATTCACAAATCTGGAAGAGGCACTCTTGCTCATCATAACTATGTGCTTAGTTAGTTTATTTAATACACAGGAGCAGAGAAAAAGATTTTCCAAAAAAAAAAAATACATTTTCACTATATAATCTATAGAGCCCGGCCCTAACACCAGAACCCCTGACCCTGGGGCCATAAAATTCACAATTTTGGAAGAGGCACTCTTGGTCATCATAACTATATGCTTAGTTAGTTATCTAATACACAGGAGCAGAGAAGAAGATTTTCAAAGAAATAATACATTCTCAATATATAATCTATAGAGCCCCGCCCTAACACCAGAACCCCTGACCCTGGGGCCATGAAATTCACAAATCTGGAAGAGGCACTCTTGGTCATCCTAACTATGTGCTTAGTTAGTTTATTTGATACACAAGAGCAGAGAAGAAGATTTTTCAAAGAAATAATGCATTTTCACTATATAATCTATAGAGCCCCGCCCTAACACCAGAACCCCTGACCCTGGGGCCATGAAATTCACAAATCTGGAAGAGGCAATTTTGCTCATCATAACTATGTGCTTAGTTAGTTTATTTAATACACAAGAGCAGAGAAGAAGATTTTCAAAGAAATAATGCATTTTCACTATATAATCTATAGAGCCCCACCCAAGCACTAGAGCCCCTAACCCTGGGGCCATAAAATTCATAAATCTGGAAGCGGCACTCTTGCTCATCATAACTATGTGCTTAGTTAGTTTATATAATACCCAGAAGCAAAGAAGAAGATTTTCAAAGATTTAATGCATTTTCACTATATAATCTATAGAGCCCCGCCCTAACACCAGAACCCCTAATCCTGGGGCCACAAAATTCACAAATCTAGAAGAGGCACTCTTGCTCATCATAACTATGTGCTTAGTTAGTTTATTTAATACACAGGAGCAGAGAAAAAGATTTTCCCCCAAAAAAATACATTTTCACTATATAATCTATAGAGCCCCGCCCTAACACCAGAACCCCTGACCCTGGGGCCATGAAATTCACAAATCTGGAAGAGGCAATTTTGCTCATCATAACTATGTGCTTAGTTAGTTTATTTAATACACAAGAGCAGAGAAGAAGATTTTCAAAGAAATAATGCATTTTCACTATATAATCTATAGAGCCCCACCCAAGCACTAGAGCCCCTAACCCTGGGGCCATAAAATTCATAAATCTGGAAGCGGCACTCTTGCTCATCATAACTATGTGCTTAGTTAGTTTATATAATACCCAGAAGCAGAGAAGAAGATTTTCAAAGATTTAATGCATTTTCACTATATAATCTATAGAGCCCCGCCCTAACACCAGAACCCCTGACCCTGGGGCCACAAAATTCACAAATCTAGAAGAGGCACTCTTGCTCATCATAACTATGTGCTTAGTTAGTTTATTTAATACACAGGAGCACAGAAGAAGATTTTCAAAGAAATAATACATTTTCACTATATAATCTATAGAGCCCCGCCCTAGCACTAGAACCCCTGATCCTGGGGCCATGAATTTCACAATTTTGATAGAGGACTTAATGCTCATTACATTCATGCCAACAGTTTGCCTGCTTGATGTCCAGGAGTAAAGAACAAGATTTTTAAAAGATTGCAATAATTTTAGTGGTTTTGGCCCCACCCCTCAGGCATCAGGGGGGCGGGGACCATGAAATTCACAATTTTTGTTCCTCTCTACCCATAGATGCTGTATACCAAATTTGGTTGAAATTGGTTCAGTGGTTTCAGAGAAGAAGCTGAAAATGTTCAAATGTTAACACACGACACACGACACACGACGCACGACGAAAACGGATAGCAATAGGTCACCTGAGTTACTCAGGTGACCTAAAAAGCCATCTAATTTGCTAATCTGACGCCAATAAATATAGTCCCAGTTCCAATGTCTAAAGTGTTTGTTCAACATGACTTCAGAAAATGATGTCATAAAGAACACTTATTAAAGTTTGAGTTGCTGTTGCTTTCAATTTGACTTTTAGATGTATCGACGACTTATTGTCCATCAACGATCATGGTAATATCTATTCTTATATCGATACAATGTATCACAGTGAGCTTTGGATAAAAGATATCACAGAGTCTGACACATCTGTTTCATGACTGGCTACGCCTAGTCTGTGAAATAAGCGGTCCAACATCTCAAAACACGCGGGTCCAATATCTCAGTCTGTAGTCAAACATTGAATCCCCCCCCCCTAAATACAACATTGGTAAAGACTGTTTTGAATAGAATTATATAGGACAGAGTTTGTAAAGGTTTAACAATATCTTTTAGGTTTTGTGAGTTGGATTACAACAGGCTTTTCTCACCTAGTTTTAGATGTTTATTATATACAAAAACTGCTCGGTCACAGATGCAGCAAGAGAAGAATCAGTTCTAAATGCACGAAAAAAGTAGATGAAATGATAATTTGATATGCATGTATACCATTATTACTAGATTTCTTAAAAACATGACACGGAAATAAAAGATTTTGAAAATATAAATAGTTTGGAAACACGCATGGCTGCTATACAAAAATAGAAGCGGTAAGTATAACTTATAATATGCTGCACATATATCATTTTTAAATTCATTGAAGATGCTAAAGAAAATGCTAAACATTTTAGGATTTGCGCTAATTGAACGAAATGATTTTATTTAATCACCTGTTTGAGATTGTCTCCTTTATTTTTTTATGTTGAAAGTTTTGTTTAATCACCGATACACTATCAGGAAAGTTTAAGTATTATCGGATCAAATATATAAATTATTTTGAAAATGAATATAACGTGCACATTTCTTAAAGGCAAAGCCTTTATTATAATATACAAAAACGTTTTCATCAACATGTCCTGTCCATTTTTAAAAATTCTGTTCAAATTAAAATTATAACTGTTGCTTTTAAATTCATTTGTATTGATGAAAACATTGAAAAACGTTTCGACTTCTAATTTATAAATTTAAAAAACATACGCATCGTGCGATACAAATAAATTGAAAACTACAAGATATTTTTAGGATATCGTTAAATATTATTAATAAACTAAGCTAAATCAATTTATTTGTTTCCGTGTTTCTAAAGCACAGCTGTCGGGGGGTTTCGTGTTTGTTATAGAATATTGAATTTTGTAGATTTCCTATGCGTTTTACATAAAAAGATGAATGTGAAAGAAACAACATTGCAATTTACTAATTTAAAAAAAAATTGCTTACTTTCAATCTTAACTAGTATGAACCTTAGATAGTTATTAACTTTAAATGAAATGCATTGTTTTACTTTTGTAAATAAATTTAAAGTTCACACACAGTTTCTCTATATTAATTCCTATATTTCGACAAATACAAGGAAATGGAGATGATCTCGATTGACCCTCAGGAATCAAACTCAAGGAGAAAATGTGAATGCAAATAAAAATGAACAAAACGATTTTTGACAAATTAAATCTAATGAAATTAATTACTTCATGGCCCTGAGAAGAAATCGTATGCTTCCATGAAGAATAAACAATTCTTTAAACAGTTTACCTTTAATTTTTATCATTAAAAATGAATGCAAACTTGTAAATTTGCTACATGATTACAAATGAATAACAACTTACGACGAAGACTGAAATTTAATTCTGCTTATTTCAGTTTATGTAAGATTCATTTGAAAATGGTTTCAATCTTTTTGAAAAGAATTCAACAATATATACTGACACGCAAAAGAAACGCAACACCCTACTTTAGGGGGAAATAATTATGTAAAGTATAGAATTTTGTATCTTAAAATTATGAATATCTTCAGTTTGGTAAATATCGGTAATTTAACGCTTTAACGATTTCCATACCATAACCGGAAGTCAAGTTTGAGTTTGCTTAACAGAAATCAAAAATTGCATGTTTAACAAAACATTTGGAAATATTATAGAGTTTTAAGGGATTTTTACTGTTCATCATAAGTAATGCAGCAATATTTCAAGAAATAAACTCTCCTTTCGTTTCCCGTAACGATGCTAAAGCTGCTTGAAAATGGCTTATGTACGCATTTCCATTGCTCTAGCTGGAAAATTTCAATGTAAAGGTGATGGAGAGTTGTTGATGCAAAATTTCATTACATTACGCCTCAACAGGGTCTTGCGTATCAAATGCATGAAGGACAGTCCTTGTACAGAAAGTCCAAGGGTGGCTACACTGCTCATAGTTAGAGAAAATTCGACCGAATCATCTGAAAAACGGGCATTTAAAAATGCCAAAAAATAATTCCTCCGCTCAGATCTCAATATTAATGAACTTATTGTATCGTAGAAATTAAGATACAATTGTTGTTAAGGGCAGTCTAGCACGTTTTACTTGAATTGCTGGGAGGGGGGTGTTTTAACAGTTATATTTTACTTAGTAAAGTAAACAGATAAACAATTAACATTTTTATCAAGTCTCCGATGTTCTGAAAAGCGAGTTTATCCTTACTTTACTCGCTTTTGAAAATCATAGATAAAAAAAATCAAACATTTGTAGATCACTGCTTGTTGCGTTTCTTTTGCGTGTCAGTATATTTTAATGCATGCAATTTCAAACAGAATCAACATTTCTGAAAAATTGTTAAATGAAATGAAATTTTAAATTTTCTAAAAGGTGAAAGTAAACTAAAGTTTAAACTGTTTTTTTTAGATAGTAATAGCTGACGTCTTCCAAAATTCAAGAGACAACAACATTGCAACGACAAAACTACTTTTGTGCATCAATAATGGACAGAAAAGCTTTGATCTGGACATTTTTATTTTTAGCAAACTTCATCCATTTAGGTATGCTCTTACTCCCGCTTTAATAAATGATTGATGATTGATGATTGGTCAGTTGTTTAAAACATTACCACTCTATTGTTTGTTCTAATATTGTCTTACAGAGTTTTTAAAATGAGACTGTTATTTAAATTCCAGGACATCTCAACCCTGCAGTGGGTTTTAGTGCTTTACTTACGCACAACATGTACCTAGGTAATAAACAGGCAGTTAAATACGACAAAGTAATTACTAATTATGGAAACGGATATGACAAATGGTCTGGCCACTTTAAAGCTCCAATGAAAGGATTATATGTATTTTCCTGTTCTGTTATGGCTATCAACAAGAATTACATAAATATCGCATTGGTTAAAAATGGTCAATGGGTGGCAACAATTTACTCAAATCCTTCGTATTTTGATCAGGCTTCGGGGACTGTAGTCGTAGCCTTGAAGAAAGGAGACAGAGTCTGGGCAAGACAGGCAGATGGAGGGCGGCATGTGTTCGGAAATTATAATTTGTTTACAGGATATCTAATTTCTAAACAAATTTAAATTTTAAAAAATGGAATGAAAATCATTTATGGTTGAAATAAAAATTCTTATAAGAAGTTTTAAATGTTGGATGTTTTTTTTTTTTTTTTTAATTTGCTACAGTTGATAATGGAACTCATACAAGTAAAACGCACGGCAAACGAGATGATTTTTTTCGTCGTTTCCTTTTTATGAAGTAATATACAGGTACACCTATTGCACATCGTATTTATTCCAGCCTTATCGATTCGCAAGCATTTAAGAGCATTTTCTTGATAAAAACAGAGTGGAGATTGAACGATAGCTACTGACTATTTTTAAATAAAGACAAACTTTTGATGTGTAAAGTGATGATTCAACTATATCATCCAATCTCAGCGTTTCAAAAAAGGGAATGCTTTTTTAAAATGCATTGTACTGGGCACCGTAGTACACAGAATTATTGTGTCGTAAGTAAAAGATAAATGACAGTGCATGTTGATGCGTAGAGCTAAAAGTTTTTAATTGTTTGTTTTTCCATTATGTATTACGGAATGCTTAATCTGCCATATTTCAGAACAATACTGCCGAAGACTTTAAGACAGTTTTGTGTCATATGTGACATCACTCTTCTTAACGAAACAATACAAATGATCCAGAGGAGTAAATAAATGGGTTTAAGAATTAAAACAAATGCTCAATTGAATTCAAAATAGCCTCAAATTTAATCAATATAACTAACAGAAGAAAAACAGTTTCACAACTTTAATTGATTTAAAAAGACCTTATAATGGTGCACAGTGTCAGAGAATGCAAAGTATGTGGAAAGAAAATTGGCGATATACTTTATAATTAAGTAATTTCTTTCAAATCAAAGTCAAACTTGCACATTTTGTCCATGCTTTGTCGATTTTTCAGATTAAAACTGAAGGCCTATGTAAGAAACTTATTTTTTGTACGAGGTTTGTGAATAATTTTTTTTTCATTTTAATACATATAAGCAGTTTTTTTAGGATTCAATTTTGGCATTATTAGTAAGGCTTCTGAAATTGCCAAGATTAAGTATTTCAACAATTTCTCAGTTTAGGTTTGATAAATATCTATTTTAATTTTTGATTGTTTCCTTATGGTAACTCTTTGAAAGTTACTTGTAGATTAGTTGAATTCTTGATAATTCAACTTGAATGTAAATTCTGTCATGCGATAGTTCAGGAGCTAAGGAGGCCTTATATGCATGTAAATCTTGTATGGCTGCATTTGTGTCTGATGTCAGTGGGGAGGTAATTGAAATTAACATGGTAGGCCACGTGTAATTTGAATCTATTAGAAACATCTTTTTTTCAAAATAGTTATATTTACAATTCTATTTCACAATTGAATGTAAAAAAGGAATCAGTTTCTAGCTTGTTGGGTATGCCAGGGAACAGCGGGTATGACCGGTCGGAAAGGATCAATGCTCAATCCTCCATGACACCTGATCATCCCACATCTGATGTTTTAAAGATCTGTGTTTGCTCTGCCCCTATTTCGTATTGTTTTGTGGACTTTTGATCTTGAATATTGTTTGTTATCTCCATCATCATTTCGTAAGTTCGACGGTCACTACATTGATCTTGTAAGCAAATACAATTTATCATTAAGTCTAATGTTGACGGAAGTACATTCATACTAATTGTTAGTCCATTATTTATAAATTGAATTGACGACGGATTTTTCCGTTATTTCCCGATCATGACAAGGAGCTCACACGGCGGGAGGGATTGATCAGCAGGGAATGCTCACTTCTCCATGGCAACTGATCCCAACTCTGATGTTTCGGAGGTCCGTGTTTGCTCTGCTCCTATTTTGTATTGTTTTATGGACTTTGAAATTGAATACTGTTCGCTATCTCCTTATCCTTCTCCATATGTTTCATTCAAAACTTGGGATGATTTGTATTACGAGTGAAGCCTTGGCAAGCCTGTCCGTCTATCATGTTTTCTTACCCTATGTGAAGCCTGTAATGCAAATTATCCGACGCCCCTGGCTTACCAAACAAAATAGACAGAGACACTTAAAAAACATGGTTATATCTTCATGGAGCATGAGAGACATTTGGGCGAGGATAAAGATTGTCTTCGATGCGTGCCCAAATAATACATATTCCAAGATAATAAACGTGTACTTTTTCTCCATCCTGTAACAGATCTTTTACATCTGAACTCCAAAACAAACTATTTCCCGGTTCATCAATGTTTTCGGAACGTTGAAATACACCAATGACGCTTCATAAAGTCACTGACCAAATAAAGCTTTGGTTTTTATGTTGCGTTTAGTACGTTTGTGCAAAGGATAGTTGCAGGTTAAAGATATCGTTGTTAATATTATAGAATCACTAAAAAAAAACTTCTCGCTAAAAATATATATCATTTTTTTTTGGAAAAAAACATCTAAATTTGCGTATCGCGTATCGCTAGAATTTCAAATTTTACTCAAAAATAGGTCTGCTAGTACTTAAGTGCAGTTGATACCTTTGGGAAATATTAGAAAAATTTGAAGATATTACCAGTATTCAAACCATCAACGATAACTCATGCCTAGAAACTTTCGATGAAAAAAAAACAACCAAAAAAGGAATTGAAAGATCAATGAATAGCTAGGTAGTTCCATGAAAGGGTTCCAAGTATCCATCTGTATCATCAGTATTTTCCTCCGTAGACAATATTCTTTGTTTTGTATAGTTATAATACATGTTACTAGAACAATTGTAATCTTTGAGGTGTTTTACGTTTAACAGAGAATCTTTGCCAAGAGTGACATGATTATTCACATTTTGATATTTTCTGCATAGTTTGTCTTGTTCCTGGCTAGATGTGGCATTTTTTGGTTGTATACAAATTTTGCTGAAGGTTGTTTCATCTGATGAACTTTCTGGAACTTCCTCTTAGTAATGTACATTATATTCTCCTGCATGGTAATTCCAATTCTCTTCATTTTTCGACAATTTGATCTGTTTTGTACATGTTTTCGGAACACCGTTCGTTTTCCTAGCAAAACATTTGCATTTACCACAACCCAAACATATTCCTATCAGAAAAGACATGGTTGCTGCAACTACGATACTGATCAAAAACTCCATTGAAATAAATGGGAATTTCTCGCAATCTAGAAAAACAAAAGTCTTTATGAAGTTGATGAAAATACTTGTGAAATTTTGAAATATAAATCAAAGTTCAGTTGAAAAATTTGGTATAATTCAAACTGTGAGAAAAGATTCATAATTTAAAAATTTTTGGTGTATAATTGAATGCCTGATTATTAGTTCAAAGCAATATTCATAAAATAGGGAAGAAAATGCTTTTGGAATGCAACTTTTAATAATGTATTATTTATAATGATATATATACCTTCATCGCAGAACTTTTGATCGTACGTAGAATTAAATTTATTTTCTCTCACTCCAAAACGTTCTTTAGTGTCAGTACCGCTGGGAGTCGAACAATTACTCCATTCTTTATGCTGAACAAACTCCTCTTGGGCTGTTTCTTACAATAAAAGTTTATAATATTTCAGATTTTTTCCATCTTTTTTTCTAATTCATCATTACGTATCAACTCTTTCTTATCTAAAAAACGTAGCGATCTATCAAATTGTAAATATTCGTTATCTATATCGATTAAACTTTGGTGAAAGAGCTGCGATAAATCCAATCCCTTTTTTAAAAAAAATATTTAAAGTTAATTTACCATGACATTTTTTAACATTGCACGACCAAAGGGTTACTCTGTGAGCCGATCCTTTGCAATATTTCCCTCCTTTTTCTGGAACAGGATTATTGCATTCTCTAGTTTCTATCAGCTTTGAGACTCCTCCACCGCACGTAACAGAACAGCTTGTCATACCCTGGGAAGCAAATTTTGACCATTGTCCATCAACTGTAAGATGCAAGAAAAAATAATTATACTTGTAAAGAATCTTTTGGTATTTTTTTTTTTTTGAACTCAAAGACAATATTATGGAAAAATTACTTTAACAAAAAAAAAATTAATTAATAAAAAATAATAAATAAACCAAAAAAAATTGAAACTAGGTTAATAAAACACTTATGATATAGCAACAGAAAGAAAGAAACATCATTTTGAAATTTACAACAATACACAACCTGACGTTGATTTGTTATTCTGTAAGTTTGACGAACTTGGAACTGGACAGAATAAATTAGCCAGGTAGCAACCAAACACTCGATTTATCTGAAGACATGCTGGGTCTAAATTCAAATTGAAATTATTAAACAATTAAATGACTGGGATAAAAGGGATACATAAATCGCATTTAACGACGTTGGATCCTCATATTCAAAGTCTAAAACTTTTTTTCCAAGTATATTTTAAGTTTCTACATGCATAGCTTAATTAAATTCAAATAAAAAAAATGAAGGTATATATGCTTCTTTTGGCGCTACAGTACATTAAATATGACCGTTTATCACTGAAATTTGTGTCTTAAATAAAAAAAAAATGCATCTTCGAGGTTTTCCCTCCAGTATTTTTATCCAATTAAAGCATTAAACAAAATGAACTCTAAGTCAATTTTAAAAAAGACACCTAAATTGTGACTTAGAAAAATTTTCAAACTCTTTCGCATATTTATTTTTCTTTACGTTTCTGCACTAATAAAATGTTATTTTTCTGGCATTGAAAATTTTATAAGCAAAACAATTATTTCAAAGTCTTAAACTTTTTTCTGAGTTAAAGCAAATAGGTAAAAGTTTTCTTATATATTCAGAAAAGAACATCAAGGTGAGGGTATAAGATGTAAATTTTGAGAGATTACTAAAAAATGTCAATTTTACGTTAAAATTGGCTCAATTTTTTCCCAGATTTTCAGAATATATTTACGATATTTGTCACACTTCGTCGAAAAAAATCATAAGAAATAATTTAAAAGATATTTCAGAACCAGCATAACACATTTCACTGCAAAAAGAGCTTTGTTTGCAACCAGCATGGAAAAATAGGAATTTAAAATTAACAGTACTGTCATAGTTAAAAAGGGAAAAAACC